CATGCTGTTTCAGTTGTAATGTGAAGTATTTGATAATGGTTTGGTCTTGAGTTAAGAACCATTAGATTACAAAAGATCTACTTTTCTTTTGTTGAAATAGATCCATGCACTATTTTCAGATTCTTAGGTAGACAGGGTTGGCCATGGGAACTGCCATGATGGTGCTCATCATTAGCACTGCACAATTGCATGTGAGGGGAAACATCTAAAGAGGGTGAGAGTAACCAGACCATTCTTTTGCAAGTGAAATAGCGCCAGTAGGACAGAGGTACAAGTGTACAGTATTCTTTTTCTCTCATGCTCTTCAGCAATCCATATACAGAGGCATGTTGCCTCAAATATCAGAGATCTTGATCAATTGCTATTCATGACACCCAGCTTCCATGAATTTATCTAATCTCTCTCTTTTAGAGGGTGAGAGTAACCAGACCATTCTTTTGCAAGTGAAATAGCGCCAGTAGGACAGAGGTACAAGTGTACAGTATTCTTTTTCTCTCATGCTCTTCAGCAATCCATATACAGAGGCATGTTGCCTCAAATATCAGAGATCTTGATCAATTGCTATTCATGACACCCAGCTTCCATGAATTTATCTAATCTCTCTCTTTTTAAAGCTGTCATGACACCCAGCTTCCATGAATTTATCTACAGTAATCTCTCTCTTTCTAAAGCTGTTCAGGCTGTAGTGGTGGCAAGGTGTAGCCACCAATTGATCTTGTGGCAGTGAAGACCCAAATTTAACTGTATGATGTGCAAGATCTCTTGCTCAACAGTACAATTCGTATTTGTTATTTGCAAATTACTGCTCTTGGAAGCAAATACTTGTTTCCTGCAAACATACCGATACATTCTGATTGGGACAGTTGACTCAAGGAGTCAGCATTGACTTAGCTGATGAGGGCTGATGGGACTTGCAGTCTAAAAGTTGAAGGTCACAAGCTTCTCACCCCAGTGTCTGCTGATGCCAGAAATATGGAAAATAGTAAAAATATGGAAAACAGTATGTAGCCTTCTACAATGGAAGATCTTGAATTACGTTTATGAAATTTTATTTCTAATATGGGCACTGCATGTGGCTTGCTTTTCTTCTCCTTTGGAGGTCTGAAGAAAACGTTCCTGCTAATACACATTGGTATGGGGGTGGAGGCAGGCTCCTATGTTGCTTGCACTGCATGTGGCTTGCTTTTCTTCTCCTATGGAGGTCTGAAGAAAACTTTCCTGCTAATACACATTGGTATGGGGTGGAGGCAGGCTCCTATATTGCTCATTGCCCTGAAGAACAAACATGGAAGTGTATGTCAATGACATGAATTCTTTTGGGTGTTATATCTCAGTGTGTGAGGGAGCAGCTCTTCAAGTAAAGAACATAAGCATGAATGGGTTTCCATACTTCCCACAGTACTGCAGTGCAGGTTCACAGGAATGGCAGCTATGCATAAATCAAGGGTTGTCCATTGTTAGTTGCTAACTGTTAAAAGCATCAATAAGAGCTTGTGAGCAAAATGCTCTACTACAGTTTATTAGCAAAATTACACCCCAAGTCTCAAGGTAAGCTCTATGTTATTTCACAACAATATCTTAAGATGATAGTTGTTTTAAGGACAAGCATTACAGGATTAATTTCATGGTTCCTAATTTTTATTGTCCTTTTTAGTCAACATAATTTTAATCATATGTGGAAAGGATTAAATTAACTTTGCCTTTAATATATTATATCTCTGCCCTCAGAGATCTGTCTGGCTCCCTCGCTGGGTGTTTTAAAGACCTGGCTCTTTAAGCAGGCTTTCCCTCCTGTCATCACTTGATTATTTTTATTTTTTCCCCATCTTGAACCATATTACTATTGTTGCTTTATATTTTATTATACTGTTTTTATTCCATTTTTATTATTAGCCGCACAGAGTAGACTTGTGTCTAGATGGGTGAGGTATAAATAAATAAATAAACAAATAAACAAACAAACAAACGAATGAATGAATGAATGAATGAATGAATGAATGAATGAATGAATGAATGGCTCTTGTGGTACACATAATTAAAATTGTACAGTAAATGCTTTAAATATGTAAAATAATTAATTTATAACAGGGACACATGTAAGGTAAGGAGACTTGACATAAAGCAGAGGCAAATAATTATTTAATTAAAAGAGCCAAAGTATGTTATTTCAACATTTCTAGGTAAGAATTCATGAGTCTGAGCAATCTTTAAATAATGTTATTGTGGTACACATAATTAAAATTGTACAGTAAATGCTTTAAATATGTAAAATAATTAATTTATAACAGGGACACATGTAAGGTAAGGAGACTTGACATAAAGCAGAGGCAAATAATTATTTAATTAAAAGAGCCAAAGTATGTTATTTCAACATTTCTAGGTAAGAATTCATGAGTCTGAGCAATCTTTAAATAATGTTAGAAAAGAGCCAAAGTATGTTATTTCAACATTTCTAGGTAAGAATTCATGAGTTTGAGCAATCTTTAATGTTGCTTTTTCTTGATTTGTATATTTTAATTTCAAAATTGTTAGGATCCAGCATCCCAAAGAGTTATATACCATTTTCTTGGGTTCCATGGGACTAACTTTCAAAACCAATATTTCAAACTTTGTAAGGAGAGACATTTTGCATTCTAGGAAATGTGACTTAAATGCAACACAATATTATTCAAAGCTGGGTAATGCATGTCTAATATCCAGCTTTGATGCACGTTCCCTGAGTTCATTACACTGACAATGTAAGTGATGCTTGAACAAATGTCCCATAGAGTCTTTTACTCCCCAAGTGGAGAAATCGGCCTCAGAACACTCCTATTTCCCACAACCTTCCCTTCATACTGGGACGTGGTGGCGCTGTGGGCTAAACCGCAGAAGCCTGTGCTGCAGGGCCAGAAGACCAGCAGTCGTAAGATCGAATCCATGCAACGGAGTGAGCTCCCGTCGCTTTGTCCCAGCTCCTCGCCAACCTAGCAGTTGGAAAGCATGCAAATGCGAGCAGATAAATAGGTACTACCTCGGGAGGAAGGTAAGACGGTGTTCCCTAGTCACGCTGGCCACATGGCAATGGAAACTGTCTTTGGACAAGCGCTGGCTCTATGGCTTGAAAATGGGACAGAGTCGGACACGACTGGACTAAAAATGTCAAGGGGAACCTTTATCTTTCCCTTCCCTTCACAACTGTCTCTCCCAACACAGAGAGTTTGTTCGTTGCTGCCAATGAAACATCACAGTGCTGAAATAAAATACATGATAGCGCAAAATTCAACCACCAAAGAACTAGCCTGTCCATTCCCCTTGCACTCATAAATCAAAATTCCATTACTCAAATCAGTGTGATAAGGGCCTAAATTCTTTCCCTCTACAAAACAGCAGCTCCCTTCCTCCCCATCCCAATCTCTCCGAGTATGGCCACAGTACATATTTATAGCAGTTGGATATCACTAACTGCTATGTCTCCACGCTACCCAATTTTGGATATATATTTAGGTGAGGTAGCTCAGCCTCTCTGCAGAAGAGCTCTCCTGCACCCCCCTGAACACTGAGCACTGAAGTTTTCAAGGAGCAAATGTAAGTACAAGATCAAACTATAAGTCACAAGATTCTGCAGTATGGAACCATGGCAGTTAAAGTGGGATTGAGCCCTTATCCCTACGTGGTAGAAATACACTGACCAAAGTCAATGGTGAATTAAAGCCTTGTAAAGTGCAGTTAGAGTAGGTACATTTGAATCAATGGAACATATGGAAGGGTTCACGCACCAAATCCCCACTGGTTCAATGGACCTACTCTAGCACAATTTACGACATTAAGCAACAGGATTTTGGTCACTATTTCTGTTCCTCTTTTTCAACCAAAATTTATTTCCTTTTACGATTCCTAATGAATGGATTACATGAAGCAATTTAGAGGTCTAATCTTAACATTACAACTGTAGTATGTATTAAGCATGAAAAGCCTTGGGGAATAGAGTATTTGTCTGTTTGACATAAGACCAAGGTAAAGCAAATGCCCTAAGAGTTTAAATCTTTCATATCTCCTGCTAAAGACCAAATGGAGAGCTGAAGGTGGCTCATGCCTGGGACTAGTGAGCACTTTCCTTCCATAACTTGGGAGTAAGTCTCTCTCTCTCTCTCTCTCTCTCTCTCTCTCTCTCTCTCTGTCCTTGTCCATGAGCTGTCCATGCCCAGGGCTCACACACACACACACACACACACTTCTCCATGAGCCGTCCGTGCCCAGGGCTATCCTAAAAGATGCTTGTATAAGAGGTGTGCATATGAAGGGGAATTGGGGCAAATTGCCCTGTGACTGCACAAAGCAAACCTCCCTTTGTTCTTATGTGTGTACCATCAGTTCTGTTCTAGCCATGACATATTGCTCACCAGGGCTTCCCTAAAGCATGAGCCCCTTAGGTAGAGGCAGTAGCAGAGCCTTAAGACCTTGGTTCTAAAACCTACATAGCCACAGAGACTCCATGGAGGATGGTAAAGATTCTGCAGTATGGAACTATGGCAGTTAAAGTGGGATTGAGCCCTTATCCCTACGTGGTAGAAATACACTGACATCTCACATACGTTGAGAACTGTACTAGAATTGCCTTAAGCAAATGCAACTTGATGGCACATAACAGTCCTGCTTTGTCCCATGTAATGCCCTTTTGGAGATCTGTCTATACCTAGACAGAATAGAGAGGAGTGTGCTAGATGGACTATTTATGTTACAGCATTTTTCTCTTTCCCAACACAAAACTAAATCTGCTGCAAAACTCCTGCATATTCTTGGGCAAATTGCTTCTTGTTGGCTTCATTTCCTCTTCTGTGCGACAGGGTCAATAACGTCCAGCCTAACAAGCTTACTATGTGAATGAGTGCAATAATATTATTTCCCCTGCTTGCTTTCTTTGTGAAATTTCTCTCCTATGGTGATGATGGTGTGAATGAGTGCAATAATATTATTGCCCCTGCTTTCTCTATTATTAAAATTTCTCTCCTATGTTGCAGATGCTGTTTAAGATTCCTAAAGGTTTCTGGCCTTTTTATGTTTGTAGTTCTATGCTCCGTAAGTATTGGATCTTCAAAATTTCAGAACGGCTTTCCAACAGTTATCAAAAGTTAAATCTAACAGCACAAGTGCAAAGAGATGAGGGGATAGAAGAGCAAAAGAGACCGACACACCCTGATACAGTATAAATATAGTGGAGGGGTGGTCTATTTCTGTGGTTTTGTAGCTGCATTGGTATCACTCTGAATCCATGGGTCTACATACTCTCTGCCACCATCGCGTTGCTGAACTCTAATGGCATGGCAATCCTCCATGCCTTTGCTTTCAAACAAGGCTTGTGTAGAGTGTGAGCCTTGCTTACAGTTAAATCACTCTAGAGCCTAATTACAAGGTGCATTATCCTTACGTGTCATATTTTAAAGAGGTGTGTATGTGTGTGTGTGTGTGTGTGTGTGAGTGTGTGCACGTGTGTGTGTTTCCTGCAGCAACACTGCCAAAATGTGATGGTAGCAAATACAGAAAAGGGGCTTTGTGCAGTACAAGACCTGTGTGTTGTATTGTTTTGCCACAGAGAGCTGGTGTACTGAGACTCAAGTGGCTAAATAAATATGTATTCCAAAAGGGCAAATTATTAGATCAAACCAATCAAGTATTGAATTCTAGACATGTGGGCTAGCTAACTTTTCAGTGGCACTTTGTATTCCATCAGTACACTTGTGCTGATGAATAATGTCCAGGTCTAAAGGAGCATGCCTTCATTATACATGAGGTTTGCAACAGAAAAACAGGGATCCTGATCAGCTAATTTTCAGGTGCGTTAGGCTGTTTCATGATGTATACCAAATGTATATATATATAGTGTACTAAGACTACTTGGCCCTTATTCCATCCTTTTGATGTACTTTGGAATCTTTGAGTACAGGTCACTTCAGGTTCCAAAGTACTGTACTTCCAAAAAATTAAATAAGGATCAAGCACACCGGAGTCGTCCATTCGTATTGGGTATAGCTATATACAAAAAGTTGTTTTCCTTGACATAACATAAATCTCACCAAACTTCTCATACTTTCCATGTGTTGGAGGAAATGGGTTGTAATCCACAAAAGATGACATTGAAATAAATCTGTTAGTCTTCAAGGTGCCACAACTTTTTGTTTGTTTGTTTGTTTATGTTTTTGTGCTGATTAACTAGGATTCTAATCTCTGCAACTGAAAGACTATGTGTGGGGAAGGTGTCTATGTTGGTTTAGGAATATTATCAGTGAATCCAATGCCAGTGAGGAGGCAGAACTCACCTAGACTGTTCTGACCACTAGGCGCCTTCATACCATAAGAAACAAATGCATGAGCCTTACATTTTTCATGCTTATTAAGACCATTCAGACAAAGTTTACATGAGGTTAGCCATTAGTCAGTTGAAATTAGAGCTACAAACAGAGAAAAATCTGTTGCCAGCCTTAGAGACCAATGGAATGTGCAGTGCCCCAAACATATTTTTGCTTTAAACATACATTCGGTGAATTGTATAGAAAAGGAATTGAAGTATCAGATATAGCTTACCTCATTTCCTAGCCCCTCAACTGGGCTGGATAAAGAGGAAAGAAAAAACTAGGTGTTTTCACATATGACAGTAAGACCACTTTTTGCTTTTTCTAAAATTCTGTTATTTTCTCACATTCTGTTATTCAAACGCGAAATCCAAGTTAGTTCAAATGTATCAAAATGGCTATTATATATTACAATTCAGTAGGTATGAATTTGGGGTATAAAACCAAGCAGCAGAATCTTTGGGGAATCATTTAAAGAAGGTGTTGGTCCCCCTTAGACGTTTTTGCAGATTCAAAGGTTTTGAGAGGCAGTTTGTTTAATAGTCTGATCATTTACCACACAACTGTTTAACACACCCTCAGGTTTTATTCAGCATTCATCCTGAAAACGGAACACCTTGGCAGATGCTGGCCGTGTCACCTATGGAGAGCTATAGTATCCTTTACCAATCACTCGGTGAGTTCTTTTTTAAAAGAAAAACAATGCAGGTTTGCTGCAGTGTCACTGACAGTGGACTGATTCAAAACCACTTGACTCGCTAAATTAAATGTAGTACTGAAAGTGATGTATTTCTTCTTAGTCCTTGACACTTCCTCATGGGACTGCTTTTTAAACCAGCGAATTAATTTATTTGCAAATCTGTTTCCCGCATTTGCTACTCAAGTGATAACGGAGGTGGCAAAGCTCTAGTTTACTTTTATATCAGCTTTTGGTGCTCTCTGTATAGCTGTGGGAAGATATGCTGGACACAAACAAATTGAAACGTGTGTAAGTGTCAGAAGCTTTATTTGTGTGTATTCGGATGGCAGGAATAAAACAGATGGGGAACAGATCCAGTTTTAAATTAGAATGTGGCTAGACATGTCCTTCATTTCACCATATGTGGAATGTGTGGATATGAATTTGAGTCAATGTATAACTTGCCAGAGTAACTGTCCAAACTCTGGTAGCAACAAACACTTCATATTTCTGAGCATGGTTATACAAATTATTCTAATGTCATGCATTTCAAAATTTACCACTACACTGCTGGTGATCCACACTGATTCTGAGGGTTTCATCCATCCCTCCATCCATCCATCCATCCATCCATCCATCCATCCATCCATCCATCCATCCATCCATCCATCCATTTCTTTCACTATCTTTCCTGGTCACACACCCATCAAATATGCTAGAGTTGTCCCTGCTTCTGCTTCTTTCTCCTGCCTCTGTAGGGTATAGAGGGCAGAATGTGCATGGGCAGTGTGCCTGTGCTAGGAAGGGAACACAAAAACAGACAGAAATAATCCAGGGATATGTGTTGCTAAACATTTACTCTAAAAATGTTTGTTAATCACCTTTTTGTTTTTAATGAAGAGCATTGTTTCTGGAACTATTCCCTTCAGCCGAGAACACCAGGCAGAAACACTTTATGCGTACCATCCTTACCCTGGCACAGCTTCAGATCCCCTTGTCTTCCATCTCTCTTTTCTCCATTATTGATTTCCTTTGTGATGCCATCTTTCCGTAATGCACATTTGGGTATGTGCCACTGAAGCGACTTGGCTGCTGGTCCTGGACACAAAGCCAGTGTGAGCCACACCTCCAATGACCCTCAGCCTACATGGGCTGATTTGAACTGATGGGAATTTTCCATGTCTGTTGAGGTTTGCCCTGAATCTATTTTGGTCAGAAATCCATTTGCTTTCCGCATTGGCAATGATGCAAATTAAATAGCTTTAAATTAAATATTCCAAAATGGTGAACTTGCTGTTCCTGTCTCCTCTGAGACCTATTGGCTTAAAAGCTCATAGCTTTTACTATGGGAAGTGTTTGGTGCCAGCAGGACTAATGGTAGACAATCTCTTTTATTGAGTACAAAGTGTGTGCTAGGCATGATATTTGTAAAGCATTTTCAGATGGTTCAGTACAACTATCAATGCTCAGTAAATGAGAGAGGAATCATCTCTGAGAATTAGGTTACATGAGCTCCAAGGTCTAGTCTTTGTTTGGTAAGATCTGATTATCCTTCTTTTAGGGCAGTGGGGGGGGTCATGACTTCCAAGGGGGTCACAAAGTGTTTTCTAGGAGGTCGTGGGCTGTCTTATATGTGTTGTTGTTGTTTCGTCATTAAGTCATGTCTGACTCTTCATGATCCCATGGACCAGAGCACATCAGGCCCTCCTGTCTTCCACTGCCTCCCAGAGTTGGGTCAAATACATGTTCGATGACACTGTCCATCCATCTCGTCCTCTGTCGTCCCCTTCTCCTCCTGCCTTCACACTTTCCCAACATCAGCATCTTTTCCAGGGAGTCTTCTCTTCTCATGAGATGGCCAAAGTATTGGAGCCTCAGGTTCAGGATCTGTCCTTCGAGGGAGCACTCAGGGTTGATTTCCTTGAGAATGGATAGGTTTGTTCTCTTTGCAGTCCAGGGGACTGTCGAGAGTCTCCTCCAGCACCACAGTTCAAAAGCATCAATTCTTCATTGGTCAGCCTTCTTTATGGTCCAGCTCTCACTTCCATACATCGCTACTGGAATAACCATAGCTTTGACGATGCGGACCTTTGTTGACAAGGTGATGTCTCTGCTTTTTAAGATGCTATTGAGGTTTGTCATCACTTTCCTCCCAAGAAGCAAACATCTTTTTTCCTCCAGCACCACAGTTCAAAAGCATCAATTCTTCATTGGTCAGCCTTCTTTATGGTCCAGCTCTCACTTCCATACATCGCTACTGGAATAACCATAGCTTTGACGATGCGGACCTTTGTTGACAAGGTGATGTCTCTGCTTTTTAAGATGCTATTGAGGTTTGTCATCACTTTCCTCCCAAGAAGCAAACATCTTTTTATTTCGTGGCTGCTGTCACTATCTGCAGTGATCATGGAGCCCAAGAAAGTAAAATCTGTCACTGCCTCCGTATCTTCCCCTTCTATTTCCCAGGAGGTGATGGGACCAGTGATGTTAGTTTTTTTGATGTTGAGCTTCAGATCATTTTTTGTGCTCTCCTCTTTCA